ATGTACTGCACAAACTGAAACTGCCATATGATACCAGAGAGGCTTACTGTCTGCTGTCCTTTGTTATAACCTTAAATACTGTTAAAGGGGAACTTGGGGAGTCTTGGGGAGTTCTATTTTCATAAAAAGGTACAAAAAATGATTCATTGTTGGCTTGTAGAAGACTATAAATCTGAAAAAAACAAATCTGTCAGTGGGTGGACTTAGAAAGTGAGTAAGGTTGCCAGACTCATCTTTACTTAAAACTTATGTAGCTGCTAACACCAGAATTTAAGATTCAAAGAAAATATTTTTTTGACCCTCAATAAGCAACATTAAGCAATAATTTTGAATGAAATGCAGTAAAATATATCAAATCAAGGGTTTTTTTATCCAAATACTTAATGTTTGGGGAAAATGTGTCTGGTATAAACTAAATTTATATCAATCAAATAAAGTTTATTTGATCAGATTCCATTAAATTTAACATTTTAAATTTTACTTTTGTTTTAACTAAATATATATCTTCTTTATTTATTTGACTGACTTATTTGTATGATTTAGAATCTGTTCAAAGGAGGATACAAAAGGGAGCACAGAAAGGAGGCAAACAAAAAGGTTGCAACAAAAGGTTATTTCATTGAACTTATGGATGACAGAAAAAAGTCACCGAGGGGGAGAAGAATGAGTCCAAACAAGAGTCCAACGAAGGTGATTTAAACAGAAGAACAATGCAAGTCTGGAAAGAGAACAGTTGGACAAAGACAGCGGCAGGAAGTAAAATGAGCTAAAACATCTCATATTTATTGAATTGATTTTTGCCTCCTCATCACCTCTTTCCTCCATCCTGTGACCCCAAAATTACTCTTGGTACACCATGACAAACAATGTTTCAGTTCCTGAAATGCATGTGGAAGACACAGAAGAGAGGAGGCATTCATGCATCCATTTGCAAAGTGTTTTGCACTGGATACCAGGAGTGTATAAAAGAGGTGTGACACACAGCTGAAATAGACAATCCATGATGGAAGGAGGACTCTTCATACTACTGCTTCTTTGTATTCAAAAGTAGTTTCAGTTATTTGACCTCAGATCAAAGTTTTCTCCTTCAATCTTTGTGTGTATGTGTGTCTCTGTTAAAGCTGTAGTATCTACTCCTTTCTCATTGTCTCACTTTGTGGCTCCTTCTGCTCACATTACTAGTGCGAGGGACCTAAATAAGAAGAGAAGATGCACAAGTGCAATTGAGAATGCAAAAAGTAAGAAATAAGAAAGGGGTAGATTGAAAGGTTAACCTAAATACTAAAGACAAAATAGTTAGCATCACCCTTTAATTGAGCCCATAGTGCTATCTAGTATTCAAAGGAATCTTCAGATTCTCCAAAGGCAATTTCAGTGCTGTCAGAGTTTAGTTTTCTGTTTTTAAATTTACTAGATGACAACTAGTATTTAGGGGAAGGAGGAAGAAGAAATGTTTTGGTGTGGTGAAGCTGACATGGCATTAGAAGCAGCTCAGAGAATTGTTTCACACACTGTTTTCTGTAGAGAGAGAG